TCCGAACAGATATTTTCCGAAAATTTACGTTGGGTGCCCCTGAACTGTGCTTCCAAAGGTTCAAAATTTACTTCAGAATGATACTTAAGACTTTACGGTAAATTTGACTGTTTTGCAAACTAGGGAGTGAAAAAAAAGGTGCCCGCATAAGAATGATCAGATATAAATTCCTCGGTGTAACGCACGATAGTTCTTCTACCTTTGAAATATAAACTTTAAAATCCATCTTATAAGCCCCCACTTTTAACCCCCCTCCCCCCCCCTGCCAAAAATGTATAGACCCATCTACCAGTAAACAAAAAATACATTCCATTATAAGCCCCCCCGTATTAAGTTAGGATAGGTTATGTTCTCTTTTTTCACGTTTTCTTGTTCCCCGTGCTCGTTCCCCGTTCCTCTGCCTTACGGTAGTGCGACTCGAGGAGGCGGCGAACATTCAGACCATTCAGGCTAACTTCGTAAAGGTTAACGAAATAAAAAACTAAGGAATACCTACTCGCTGAGGTCGACTGGTATAGAAAAAGGCAGCCGGGCCATCAGCGCCTCAATTGCTTCTTAACGTAGCTCACAGCTGAAAAAAAAAAAATTACAGAACTTGGACGTGTGTGGACTCCACTGTACTGTGCAAATCACGTGTTTCTCGATCTTTTCAGGTATGTTATGCAGGTATGTAGGCAACGTCAATGCTTTTTAACAGAGAAACTAAATCTTTATTGCCTCTTCAAACGGAGGTATTGCTCTATTTACAATAAAGGTAAGGTACAGTACTTATTTGATTGCAACAAAAAGCACCATAACTGAATAACTAAATAATGAATATAGGAGAAATTACACAACAATGGGTAATTACAAAACAAAAATTGGGGCTATAAAAGAATTAAATTAAAGTTCCTGTTAATCTATATTGTCATTATTATTTTCTTTTTTTTACAAAAATCACTAAATTTACCTATAATCTTACAGGTTTGCTGTTATCTACTGTTAAAAAATATAACATTTCTAAGGATCATTAAGATTCGTAAAGTAAATTTTATATCACTAATTCAAATGCGAGCGAAGAGCTCTTGTCTTACATTAAATCAACTCTTCACAAAATATCAAGATAATATATAGATTTAGCCAGGGCTAAAAGCGAAGCTCCTATTAATTCGAATTCATAATTTAAATCAAGCAATAAACTTGTATTCCACAAACCAGTTAACTTAAGAGCACATTCAGGTGACTTTTGAGGGAAAGGCAAAGTGATTTTAGAGAAAAATAATTTGCAAACAGTCCATCTAAGAGTGAACTTAAATTTACATCGAGTGGATAGCCTTTATGTACACCCAAAAAATAGCAATCATCTTCGATCACATTTAAGAGCCATAATGGCTCTTGATCATAGTAGATTAGGCCTGGAAAACAAATCAGGCCGAATTTTTTGCGTTCGACAAGTTTACTTTACAAAATCTTGCCAACAAGTCTGGGAACGTGTAAACCAATCTTTTATACTTTTTATACATCACATCTGAGGTGAAACAGTAACATGAGGCGCTGTTTTTATCATACAGACCTCGGACAGAATGCAGTATTTCACAATTTTGCAATACAAATTGCACTCGTTCAATATTCAGGACGATTGAAGCACGCGTGGGCTTTTAGCGAAACCGTTACAAAAATTTCCAAAATCACCTATACGGCTAGCCGGTTCTCACTTTTAACAAGCGCCAAAGTCGACTGTTTAAATTAAGATTAATAGAGTTATACGCTTCAACATAATAAAGAATTTATTATGTTTATTTTTTATTTAATGGTTTTATAACGATGTGTAATCTTCAAAAGCATTTGATACGCGCGGCATTTTGACTACTCCTGCAAGCGATGTTCATGAGCGACTGAAAACCAACGGAACAGCGATTAAAATTGCAAAAGAGACTACTAACAATCAATAAAAGGAAAATAATTCGGTGAAACATATACAGAGACAACAATTTTCATTCACGAAGACAAGTATTAAAGTGTCTGTGAAAATCCTTGTTTATGTTTTAAGCCGGCTTCCCGGTGTTTGCTTTTTTCAAAGATGAAGTCGAGGCAAGAAAATCGCTCAAAACTTTCTTTTACAGCCAGAACTATAACTAAATATTCTTTGGAACGTTTTCTTTCTCTTTGCGGTGAGAAAATGTCTAAAGGCTTTTTAAAGTTCTAAAAATCAAACCTGATACTCGATCAGATCATTGTCTCAAATCTTACAAACGTGCATTAACCAAATAGGCGCATAAACTACGCTCGACTTCATTAAATTAGATACAAAAAAAACTTCAAATACAATAATTACTCAGGCTTACCATGCGAGATGCACTGAACACTATCAAGTAAGGCCAGAATCGCCGCTTCAGACTTCTCAACCGTCTTACGCATCAAGCAAGGTGAAAAACGAAAACGATGCCATTCGAAATCGGATTTCCGACTTTGCCAAAGCGACGTATTTCTTAACCAAAAACCCAATAAACAAACTAGCCATGAATAACAGAAGACTCTTGATAGCAGCTGAATTTCACTTTGTACATTCAGTGGAAAAAGACAGTTAAAAACATCACAAGTTGACACAAAACTCTGTCAGCTTCAGTTTCAAGATGCTGCATAAATTTTTCGCATGAACTCACCTGTCAAATTTTGACCAACCAGAGTATAAAAATTGGACGTAGAGCGTGACCAACGCGTGAACTTGGTGAGAAAAGTCAAAAACAACTGGCATGTCTTCCCTGCCTGTAAAAACTGGCTGAATTTTAGCTTCCGAGGTCAGTTTGAAATCAAAATTTTAATTGTGCGGCACATATAAAACACAACATATTTCATATGAATTTAAAAAAATTGAACTTGAACCTGCAATCATTTGAAAACTAGTAACTTGTCGGTGGATAACTTAAAAAAGATACTCAACCTCGATGGGTCGACAAGTGAGCCCGCGATACGGTCAGGTGATACTGGTCAGCGGATACCCTGTTTTGACAGCTGTCAATTGATCACAAAATTGATGTGCAATATGTGAGCAATATCAGTCTTCCAGTGCTTCCAAACTAGCTAGAAAGTATGAGTGAACATTGGTTGCCCTGTGGTGCGGACGGACGGGCGGGCGGTGTACGGTCGGTCGGTGATTACCAAATTTTCTGGGATGGGTAGATTTACTTACCCATGGTGCTCCGCAGGCGCGCTTCGCGCGCCAGAGCTCCGCTTATATGCATGTTATTCACCTCCGATCTGATTTTTTGCTTATGCTAAGCACATTCTATCATCCACACGTATAGTTGCGCCGGAGTTCTTTGTATATGAACTTTGTTTAGTATTATAAACCTCTAACGTTAGTTTCGTAAGAAAGGAATACACTTATTGTACTGATTACACGTCACATAGAAAATGCAATAGTACAGCGAAAATCAAACTGGGGGAAAATTACTAAGTTATTCAATAGCCAGCGAGCTAAGGCGAGACAACACACCAGAGCTATTTTAGAGTGTTCGGTTGTTACATATTTAGCAATTATTGAATGAGGCTGAGTAGGATGTAAAGAATTATGCAGATCGAGGAAGATGTTATCCACGAGCGATATATTTTGTGTATTTTTGCATGTATTCCGTGCAGTTTTAGTTAGAAATTCAGCTACTTCATCTTTGGATAGCCATGAACGCCATTTTTTAGTTCACTCGTGAATAACAGCTAGTCGGCCGCGCGTGGAAAACGAGGTTGATCGATGGTCTATTTCCCCCGTTTCCAATGAATGTATACCATGGAATCGAAGGTATGTTGCTCGCATCTTCCAAATATGGTAAGCACCATTTGGCCTTTAAGCCAATCAGAAAAAAGCGCATATATTTTGGATGAATAATAAATTAAGCGGTTTTAGTTCAAAATCAGTCCTATCAAGCAGGAGTCTGTTGAAGGATAACATTATGAGATATCTTTCCCCAGGAAAACTTGTCTGAGTATCTAAACAACATGGTCTTAGATATAGCGGAGCATGGAAATTATTCCTCCGAGCTCATAATGTTTGACCCATTCAGTAAACCAATTTGGCTTGGCGAGAATGCTAAGCCTCGGGGTATAGGTAGTCACGAGGTCTCATCCACGATTTTTCTCGTTTTCCCAAGAAACAAAGTCAAACTTACTGGAAGTGATTCATTATACAAATTAAAACCACCATTTCGCTACAGCTGTATATATTTTTAAACAGGTATAAGTTCACATCCGGCTTCATCAGGATATAAAAGCGAATGTGATCGTCTCAATTAGTGCACATCCTAAGGGTTTAAACTTTTTCATCTAACTGCGAGTATTGCGCCCTATTCGCAGTATGACGAAAAATAGAGTCTGGTGTTTGGAAACAATTGGAAAATTTTGTACTGGTAATCACCAATTTTTTGTGTTTGCAACTTTGTTAGCATCTGATCTGAGACACGCGAAATTTTTCGTATAACCAGAAAGTTAACCTCAAGTTAAAGGAAGTGTACTGTTCATGTTCGCGAAATAAGATGAGCCAACGAAGGATAGCCGTCAAAGAAAAAAGGAATCTGTTGTAAATGCTTGATTAGTTCAACGGATTTTGGTGGCCGGGCCATACTCCATTCTTTTTAAGCAAAAATCCCAACTGATGAATAAAATATTATTACATCCTTTGAAATTTTAACGGATTCTAGAGATTAAAACGTCTTTGGCTTTATACCTTTCCCCGGCATGAAAAACTTAAACATTAAAGTTTTTTTTTTGACAGTTCTAAAAGTATCAATTAACAGTGTTAACCTGTGCCTAATAGATTTCATAAAATATATAGAGATATGATATTTTTGAAAAGAAAAAGCTTGTTAGTAATGGTAACAGGACTGAGTGGAGTCCAATTCGGTCTGTAATCATACTCGTGATTAATCAAATCGGATGACCGCGTAGCGGGAGCCCGATTTTTATAGTCAAGAGTATGATTATAGACCGACCTGGACGACACGAAGTTCTGTTACAAATTAATCATAACTTTAACAAAATTTGTGATTTATAAGGCTCTGTTTATAATCAAAACACAAGAAATTCCAAGATTTTTTTTTGCTACCAGTAAAAAGAATCCAGTTAAACGCGAACGTGATGGCGCGTACTGTCCAATTACTTAGGAATGATGCGTACTGTCCCATTAAACTGTCCTATTAACGCTAAAATCAGGGCAGTTGATAGCCAATCAGATTTGAGAATTTTGTTATAGTTATGATTTGTGCTGTAACTCAGTTGTTTTGTATAAAATTCCTCAAAGTATTTGTCAAGGCAAAAAGCCGCGTCTTTTAGTTTTTAGTATACAACGGCCTTTCCATCAACAAACACAGCGATGTGTCCTTTCATGGTTACCGTAATTCCATCAAAAAAACGTCTACCTTTATTACGCAGCAGAATTCTTCGCACTAGTTTTCCATCCACAGTGTAAAACTCCACTATTATGATCCCATCCTTATCATTGTAACCAGCGATGACAACATGTTCACCTGCAGAGCGAGGTGAAAACAACATTTCGTCTAAATTGACTCCGACGCCAAATTTGAACTTTGCAATCTCCTTTCCCTCCATTGTGAATACATGAACACAGTGGTAATCGCTGAAGTTTCTTTTAGGGTGCATTATCATGATGCGACCATCGCAAGTAGCAGTGCAATCAGCTAAATACTTGTCGTCTTCACTCTTGAAAAACTCAAAACTACGCTCAAACTCACCATTCTGATTGTACACGTGAGCCTCACATTTTGCCAATATTACTAGTTTGCTGTCGCTAACTATCAGTCTGTGTGATGAGCGTATTCTCCCGCCTTTCACAGGAAACTTGTACTGAAGGTCAGCGGTTTTGTTTAAAACCTGCACTTCTCTCTCCCATGCTCCTTTATTGTACAGTTCGATCAGTAAATAGATCTTCTCGCTAACGTCTTCAGTGACGAGATCAGCAATTAGAATCTCTATTTTAGCATCATCAGTTTGGGGATTAAAACTAAACTCAAATGTACCATTTTTATCGAAAACATGCACGGTTCTCCCGCCCTTCTCTGCAAACAGAAACTGTCCCACGGTGTTAGTAGCAAAGACAATGCCTGCCATCGTCACATCAAATGACAACCCCGGTGTAATGCGGTAGTGCTCCATGTCAACTTTCTCTGATTTCTCCAACACTTGTAACACTCTTACATCGCGCAGAGGGTCAACTTGATCTACTCCGATGTCAACATATGGCCACACCAAGACATGTACATCTTTACCAACCGTTCGCATGGCATCGTAGATGGTGCGATTTACTTGACACACGATGGAAATTATCTGCATCCGTTCATCTTTACCAAATTGATCTCTTATGTTTAGGGGACCTTTACTGAGCTCCACTTTAAAGCTGTTCCGTACAGCAGGTAACGAATTGAGTATCTCCAAACACTGTTCGCAATATGGTAAGGCTTTCTGCAAAGTGCTTTTCAAGTCGCCCGCGGTTCTCACTGTCTCAGCTGCTGACTTTAACATTGCCGCCATAACACGATATCGAATGGCTGTGATTCGGTCAAAGGTGCTGAGGGCTTCATTGTTGCAAGCGTGTGTCGCGTTTTCAACAGCTAATCTGAAATTCTCTTGTGCGTCAGAAAGCAGACTTTTCGTTGTTTCATCCAACTCAGTTAGTTGCATGTTTCTTATTCCAGCGGCGACGGCAATTGTCTTCCCAGGGTCAGTGTCTGAGGGCAAAGCCAGTTCGTCAAAGTCCTCTTCTTCTTTTCTTTCAGATACTTCCCCAGCTTCCACACTAACATTAGCACCGCGCATTGCAACGACTGCACCATTTAAATTCTTGAGTCCTGTTCCAAAAAAGTCTACAGCTGCCTTAAGATCTTTTTGTGATAATGCATCCAACTTGCCCTTGATATCGTTCAATTCACTTACAATCAGGCCACGAAGTTTCTGATCAGTTACGTCGCCGTCTTTCAACTTCTCCGCCGCTACATCTCTTCCTTTTTTCACGATCAAGCCAATTGTGCCTTTCAACACCGCTGATATAATTGCAGACATGCTTCTTCCAATCTAAATCAAACTTTCTGTTACTTCTTGTGTTTTTAAAAGCTATTTGTGCCAAACAGAGATTGAATTTCAGATCACGAGATCTTACCTCATCCATAGGCTCTTTAACTGCTTCATTTGCGTTGACGTGAGAGAATGTGCAGAATGAAGATTGACAGAACGCCAGCAGGTAACAAAGTAAAATGAGTATTTTAAAAATAAACAGTGGGGTTAAGAGCCAAAAATTTAGTCGACAGATGTAGGATTTTTAGAAGATAATTTTGCTCTCTGGGCGGTGTTTACACAACGGCTACATTTGCAAAAATCTTTGTCCACTGACTAAATTCATTGCAAATTTTGCATATATGTACATCCATCTCAGGGTGGAAGTATTAGTTTGCTTAAAATAAAGGCAAGTTCCTTTACATTACTACCCTGTAACTACGTAGCTAGTGAATACAGATATGATTACACTTCGAGAATTATAGGCTGTAACAAACAAAAAATAACAAGGTGAAAGGTGACTCAGATAAACAGTTATTATAAATTTTCAATGCTTTTGATAATCTGTGATTTAGTGAAAGGAGTTTTTGGAAGGAATATAGCTTATAAAACCAAAACAAAAAAAATATTTTTTGGAGCTTCAGTATGAATAGAAAAAGAGGTAGTTCCGCTGCAAGGTGCAGCTGTAATCAAAAAAATTCTTAAAATCTAAACTATATCTTGGTCGTTTTTATCAAAAATTCGACAGAGTAGGGTTTAAACTGTCACAGTCTTTGTGACCCGCAAAAGGAAGTTTTGTTTCGTGTATAAATACGTTGAGTAAATGTAATTATGATTACTTTATTGCATTAGTCAGTGAGGACGTTTCTGGCCCCAATAACCGAATATCAAATCAATAGCAATGAATCGTAAATACGTACTGTGAAAAGCAGGAAACATATAAACTGTGAGAGTAATGCATCCATTGCCTGGCGTGCGGGGACTCCCAGCGGAGTGACCAGGGGGGTGCTCTGTTCTTCTCGCTTAGGGGTAGAAATTGCAGATTTTGGTCTCACTGAGGGTGTAAAAAAGTTTTTAACTACAAAGGTATCGCTTGAGGCAGGAGAAGATAAGTTCATTCTCTCTTGCTTACGGTTGCACGCAAAGAAATATCTAAATTATAATTAAATGATTAAAAAAACATACTATCATATTCTCAGTTGGGGCATGGTCCACTTACAGTCTCATTTTGAGGTCCAATATTTAGCCTGAATAACGATCAGAATGCTATTTTTTAAGAGGTTAATTCGAGATAATAATTTCTACGAACATCCCTGTGGCCGTTATCATTCAAGAGTCACTTCTCTTTTTTTTGGAAGAGGGGGTTGGACATCCACTGTCCCGATCTGCTAGGCATACTTTCGTTTTAGATATTTTATACAGAGAGCAACAAACAAAAGCATTGACTGTCCGAGTCACAGCATGAAATGGGGTATCTGAAGTCACACTATTACGGGACTAGCGGGTCGCGGGTAGAGTATGATTTGGAAGTAATTTTTTGTTGCAGGTAAAGTGAGTTGTCACCGGTAAAGCCAGGCTTTTAGTGATTTTATGATTAAACTAGTAGGTTTCACACCTATCTGAAGCCTCATGAATGTGAAAGAAAACTGGAATATCTTGGTTGTTTTCCCCGTAAACTGAAACTGACCTCCGACTCAGTAGACTACGAGCATTCTCTACTTTTTTATTCTTTATTTTCTCTGCGATACATCAACTTGACACTTGGACTCTTGCCTCCCAGAAGACACGTGGTATGGCGTGATTCTGTGGGTGTTAAGAGTTCTGGGCCAGGGCTTAAAATCAGAGTGCGAGGATATTTTTCACCAGAGCTTTCTCTGATTGTTGCGCCATACTGACGAGCCCCAAAAAGGGCGAAACAGCTGTCTATGGCTACAATCCCGCTCTGTTTTGAGTTCTTTCGGTGTCGTGTTGATGTCTTGCAGAGTTAATTTTCACGTAGTACGATCAGCATTGCAGTATTCTGCTTGCAGAATTTAATGTGTCCACAATATTATTTTTGCTGATCAGGTCTTTATAAATCCTACGTTCTTCGGAATATTCGTTTGCGGTCCTTTGCAGTCCTTTGTGGTTAATGTTTCTCCTTTTTTAGTCTTTCGAGTGAAACGTGCGAGACACGTAAATGACCAAGACTCTCGTTTCACGCATCTCGCGTTGTCGCCGCTCGACGCTCGCGCGGACGTACACTGCCCTCACTTAATAAGAAAAAGAGCGACTGCTCGCAGTCTACCGACTCAGTTGAAAGGTTCCCCATTTAATAGATAAATTTAGTCACGAGTTTTCCTCCCCCGCAGTCGCCGTCTCTTTTTGTCGTAGGGAGGCTGGGGAGAGGGAAAAATGAAAGCGCATGATTTTTCATGTAATCCAGCGCGGGCCTCTGCGGAGCAGAGAGGTCACTACAAAATTGGAGGATACTTATAAAAGTAAATACTATTCTGTCCGTATTGGGAAAAAAAAATATGCATTGAGCTTTTCATCTCGCTGAAAAAAAAACTGTGCTACCTGAGTCAACGACAATTTTTAGCTACTATTTTAAACGCCGATAGTGAACGAAGTGAACGAGCGGCTTTGCTAAAAGTCAGCAGATAAAAAAAATAGATCGTGATCGCGGGTTAAAATCGATACCGAAATTTTATATTATGATAGTTAAAAGAACAACTTATGGAACTGACCAAGCTGAGTAAAATTTTCACTGACTAAACGTAAAAACAATTATAAGAAATTACAAGTATTATGATATGACGTAACGTAGCTACAGTCACTTCACGTTGTTGTCATAAATTATATATAATATTACGTGTTACATGGTGTGCAAACAAAAACAAGGCAAAAACAAAAGAAAAAATGCAGATTTACAATTGTACTATTTACAATTCACAATGAGAAAGAGTCTTAAATACGACAATAATACATATTACTATTAATAGCTACAGTACCCACAGGACATTGCAAGTGGCAATTCTGTAGTTGCAACTATATACCGTAAAATTCCGAAAATAAGTCCTGGGGCTTATATTTTTCAAAGGCCATTTTTGAGGGGCTTATTTTTGGAAGGCCTTATCTATGAAGCTGAAATTTGCGTTTCAAAATCGATTCGGCTAGGAAGGAAATTTACCATTTTTGCTTTGTTTTACTTTGTATTTGAGGGCAATTTCCAAGTAGAAGCCCCCGGTGGCCATATATCTGGAGGGGCGATTTTAGAGGGGCTCATGCAAGAAGGGACTTATTTAGGGAATTTTACGGTATATATGACAGAGAGTGTCGTATTTTACCATCACTCCTAAGACAAAGATGTTTTAAGCACATCCATTAAATCATGCACAAATTACTGCTGGGAAACTATAGGGTGACATTGATCAGTTGAATGAGATGTCTCCAGGGTGATCTTCTTCAAAAGATAGCTCGATAAGTCAGTTTTGAGGTTTTCCCACAACCAAGAGAGAGTGAGCTTATTCTCTCTTGCCTCAACTTATCTTGAATTTTAGAACGATTGATAACTGATCGTCCTCTCCTAAAAGGTATCTACAATAAGTTAGTATGCAAATCTAATCCTTCTAATTTCAGATAACAAGGAAACGCCAATTCGCCTTGTAAGAGTAAAAGTACTAAACCTTTATTTCATTCAAACCAGTAGATTATTCAAAACTTATCAATTACAAAATTTTTTATAGGCCATAAAGAATTCAACGCACTATAGTTCCTGTCACTCTATATTGTCATTAATTATTTCTTTGAAAACAAAATTGTGATCTGCAAGATTTTACCAGGTCTATTTCGTCAGCGCGATAAAAGCTTAGGCTCAAGTTATGAGGTGTACGGAGGGCTGAAAAAGTACTCTTTACCACAACAAAAAACACGTGCTTACAGTTTGTGTTGGAACTATGAAGAAATCATTCTCTCATTTTTCCTTAGTTCACCTAACATGGGCAGTTTCTCAGAAACTTTCACTGATCCGATTTCGAGGGCCTGTAACCGGATGTACGCTTTTGTTTATAGGTAGATGCGTCTATAACTGGGGGCCGGGCTAAAAATGATGCCCGAGTTTAAGTTTACGGTAGCTCTGCAACGAAATTCAAAGTAGGTGTTGAAAATGGCGCTGACAAGTGCGCAGTTCACGTCAAAAACGTTTAGTAAATTTTAGAAGAGCATATTTTAAGATAATGAAAAGACTAAATTAAGGTGATGCTACAGTTACACGGGACGATTCGCGACGAAGATTTTTAGCGCTACCACAGCGTTGCAATGTTGGAACAATGTTGTAACCATCGAAAGGATGTCGCAAAAATGCTGCAACTCCGTGTTTCGCTACGAATCGTAGTTGGGAAACGTCTTGTGTAATATCACCGTTAGAGGCAAGAAAAGGGGGCACACGGTCTAACAAGTGAATGCCTAAAGCATGCGCACAAACATAACACCAGGGCAGTAGCAGCCATGAACAGCTGTTTTGCTCTTATTAGGGATCAGCAGTGCATAAACCAACAAAGCCGTATATCATTAGCCATGGGTTGGTGTATGTGCCGTAACGTACTCTCTTATAAGAACTAATGTCTTAAAACAATGCCTTCTTGGCTTTGGGCGTGGTCAAGTTCCATAGCTCTTGGTACTTGGAGATCAAAAACGTTTCCAGACTTAAAACAAGACGTTTTGGTTTTATTTTATTATCATTATCATTATTGACGTAGAAATGAATGGGGTTCTTCTTGGCACCATTTTTAGCGCAAGTTTAATTTTTTTTAAAGTGCTACTACGATCAAATCTTTGACTACCATTTTTTTTCGCTAGATTGGCAGTTTAGTACTTGAAGTACATGGTGTGCAAGTTATAGCTTCATACGATTAAGGAAAGTGGTATTTTTTGGCGCTCAAAAACCATTAATTTTCGTCCGCCATTAAAACGCTATG